AGAATTTTCTTGGAGGTGGTTCTTTTTCTTCTTTGGTATTTCCTTTTCTCTTGCTCCTTCTTCAGCTGTGCATTCACTAGATAATAGGCATTTCTGAGCTCCATTTGAATTCTATGATTCCACTGTTGTGTTTTTGCTCCATTGTTGACGAAAATGTCATTGTGTGGCACATGTTGGTATTTTTAATTCTTTTTTTTTTCCAAAATTTTTAAAATGTATGGACCTTTATTTTATTCATTTATTTATATGCTGAGAATCGAACCCAGTACCTCACATGCTAGGCAAGTGCTCTACCACTGAGCCACAGCCTCAGCCCCGGTATTTTGAATTCTTTGTCAGGCCATTTATGTATCTATATTTCTTTGAGATCATCTCTTGCAGGACCATTATATTCTTTTGGTAGTCTTATAATTTCTTGTATTTTTCTTGTTTCGTTTTGCCTTACGTTGATGTCTATGTATTTGAAAGAATAGGGACTTTTATTTGAGAGAGTACCTCAGAAGGTGAAAGGCAGATGTGCTAAGCCTATCATCTCAAATTGAACCTTTGTGGCCTTAGATGTATAGAGATGAAAATTTTTGTATAATTGAACCTACAAATGATTCATTTTGATTTCTACCTTTATTTTAAAATATGTTTAGAGAGTTCTCCAATTTTTTTAAATTTTAGTTGTAGATGGACACAATGTCTTTTGTTTGTTTGTTTATCTATTTATTTATTTATTTTTATGTGGTATTGAAGATCAAAACCCAGTGCCTCACATATGCTAGGCAAGTGCTCTACCACTAAGCTATAGCCTTAGCTCTCTTCTCCAATTTAAGATTATATTTTATTTAGTTCCCTAATAAATTCTTTATTGTATTTAAATCTTTATTAGTTTCTAGAATGATTTTAGTGGGTAGAATAGCTTGGAGTTCTATCTTTTGTTCAAGTGGTTAGCCAGTTTTTCAGTATCACTTATTGAATAACATAAAATTTTGAAGTTCCATCTTTTATTAAATATTAAAGTCTTATCTGTTTGTGAATTTAGTTTCATTAATCTCTCTTTTATTTACACTGGTGCCAAATTTTAATTGTTGGGACTTTAGAATTCATTTAATATTTGGAAGGCAGATCTCCACCACTCCCCATCATTGTTAATCTTTTTCAAAGTAGTCTTAGCTGATGTTGTGTTCTCTCTACCCTGAAGCAAGAATAAAAGTTTGTTGTAGCATATAGTACAAGTTTGAAGAAGGCTGTTTGTGTCAGTCCATCTCTTAGGTCTTCTTCAATGTTTTTTTTCCAGCTACGTGGTAGGCGTAAAATGTGTATTATATTAGTTTCCTATTCCACCCAGTTTTGTTCTTACTTGCTTTCAGTTGTAGGATTGGAAAATGCAGTGTATGCCAGTAGCTCCAGTCTTCTCTAATCTGTGAAATATACCTTCAATACCTTCACTGACATTTGTGTGTAGTTACTTGCAACCAAAAGGAAACTAGTCACTTAGCCAAATTTTACTCTCAATATTGCATGTGTTTCTACTACTGTACCTACCAATACCTCCCAGTCACCCAATCCAATCTCTCCTCTGCAGCAGTCTGCCTCAGCCTCCATCACTGCTTCCCTCAGGAATGTGTAGATGACCTTCAGGCCTTTTAGTCAGGCTCCCTTTTCCCCTCCCCATTTGCCAGCCCATCTTCTGCCTTCCCTGCCATAGTGTCCGCACAAAAAGTTTCTGATACAAGTGCCTCTGTGCTCAGGCAGAATTAGTCACCTAGCAATTTAAGAAATGCTTATTTAATTATGCTTACATAGAAACACTGAAGCATAAGTATAACTGGTTTGAGACAGAAGAATGAGTATTTGTTTCCTGGCAGGAAGGATGCCAAGAAACCCATGCTTTGGAATCTCTGGGCATGGAGCCTGTGTTTGAGGCAGATAGAATTTCAGCTGTCGGAAACTCACCTTCATTGACTGTTTCATAAGCACACTTAGAGCTAAATGAAGAATGGTTTCCTTTGCACAAATATTTATCAGAGACCAAGGAAAACAGAAAATCACTTTATTTTTCCTTTACATTTGCTATATTAGTTCTATCCTTTTTGGTTCTTCAACAAAAAATCAAAATGTTAACTATTAAATAGCTTCTGTAGGAGATGATTTTTAAAAATCCTATTCCAGTGCTGGCCAACAGAAAAATAAATACATGTCACATATGTAATTTTACATTTCCTATTAGTCACATGTAAATAGTTTTAAAAATCCAGGTGAAATTAATTTTAATATTTTGATTTAACCTATTGTGTTCAAACCATATAGTCAGTATTTTAAAACTTGAGATATTTCACTTTCTTTTCTTTTTTCATTTGAAACCTGGTGTGTATTTTGCATTTATAATACATCTCAATTTAGACTAGTCACATTTCAAGTGCTTAGTAGCCATACGGAAGATTGCTTTATTTCTAAATTCTGGATTATTTTGCTGTGTTCTTATATTAGAAATGGCCATATCTAGGAGTTCTTAACTAGGAGTGCATGTCCAGAATTACCTGTAAGCTTTTTCTAAATGTATATTCTTGTCTATACCTCCACTAAATTTGTCAAGATAAAAATCTCTGCACATGAGCCATAGCATTTGTGTTTGTAGAAGGGTACATAGGTAGTTCTGACAAGTACCTATAATTAAAAACCACTGAGATAGCACAGTTTCTGCATTTTACCCATACTAAACACATCCAAGTGTGATTAAACAGCTTTCCCACACAGAGTAATGATGTAGGCTTGAATCTTCCATTGACAAATCTGGTCTTCTGTTGCTCAACTGCATTATCAATTGTAACATATAGGATAGAAAGCAGACTAATATCCTATGTTGATTTTTCAGTAACAAAGGGAAGCAATAAAAGATATTTTGAAGTTAAATTTTAGATGGTCAGGAATGTGTGTATAAGCACACACATTTTGCCTAAAAAGTCTTCTTAATTCAAGTTTCATAATGATGGGCATGACTATGTAGATTTTACATTTACTTGATTCTTTGATCTTGATACCTTTTAGACCCATCTGATAGGCCAGTGCTTTCTTGAAACTACTTTTAAAAATCTATATCAAAATAGCAATTAGGGGGCTATTCTGATTAAAATTCTAACTAAAATAAAAGTTCTTCAAGCTACCAGTTTTTAAAGTGTCAACCATGGACTTTTCAGGTTAAAATTTTATATTTTTAATGTAATGACAAAGCTGCTAGATACCAGCAGGCAGTATGGTTGACTACTCTGTAATTTTATGGAAATTCTTTATAGAATGAGTCACAATGACTTTCTTGTCTTTCTCTCACATAGAGCTGACAAGGGCAGCACACATACTACATTGCAATAATATAAATCTCAGCTCATCTAAAGGTACTTTGAGTATTATTTTAGATGAACTGAAAATGTGGAGAAAAATGTTTGCTTTTTAACATGGTATATATGGAGTAATTAAATACATAAGATTGTAAGTTTTATTCAAGGAAAATTAATTTTACAATTATATATTAATCATTTAATTTATATCTGTTTATTAAAAATTATTAGAGTCTATAGAAGTCTCAAATAATTAACAAAACCCATTAAATAAATAATGGTATCCATAGTACCCTACCAATAACTACTAGACTTTTAAAAAGCATTTTGAAGGTCTAAGCTGTTTAAACAGATTTTTACCATTAATCAGGATGGTGGCATTTCCTTTACTGGAAAGAGCCAAAGGGATCAAGAGATTAATCCAGGTCACACAGATTCCTTTCAGTGCAGGTCTGCCATTGTCTTCTTACTCCACTGACTTTTCTTTTTCTTCAGCTATGAGGACTTTATTTTGCTAGAATGCAATAGCGTATTAAGGTGTGGTGATTTGCTATAACAAAATGATTAAGATATTTGCTTATATATTAGAGTCATCAATTCAGTAGAACAAAGAAAATAGCAGCATGACTTTGGTGTTTCCAAGTTCTTTTTGTATTTCCTTCTGTCTGTCTATCATAGGGCATTAATATAGAGAATGACAATCTCTTCAAAAATAGTTTTTTCAGAGCTAAAAGCCAAATTTTAAAAATACCCTTTTTTGGAAAATACTGAAAACATTATTTGGAAAATACTTGGGAACACAACCCTCTTTTTTACTTTTAATATATTTGCTCACTTAAGGAAAAAATTCCCTTTGGGCAAGTGGATATAATTTTATATATAACGCAGTGGGAAGAATAGGTTGATTGGTCTTCTAAAGTCTTAAATACCCGAGAGAAATGTATTTATCAGTAATTTTAAGTTGACCAGGTGATAAATAGGAAAACCCCTTTTTCGGAGTGCTCTGATATGTTGTTAGTATTCAAAATCCTCAATCTAAATAAGAAAAAAATGTTTCTTTTTTACATTCTCCTCCTAGTGGTTTTTTTTTTTTTTCTCTTGTGGGACAACGTTTTTTATTGTACAATCAAAACTGATAAACCGGCTCCTCTGCTCTGTATGCTATTCAGGTTACTGCCGTGAGGAAACGGCTCTCCATAAACCTGGGAGTTTATTAGAAGCTACTTTGTTCAGGCAGTTATTAGGCCTAAGCAACTGCCATTCAAGAGAGTTAAAGGAGAACTAGGCTGGAAGCTGGCAAGGAAAAGAGTTATTTCTATGCCAGTGTTTGTAGAGCTGGTCAGGCAATGAGACAGTAATCTTTAGTACAATTGAGCTTGATGGATAAATATGAATAATCATACATTGTCTTATTATAAGAGTCCTGGAAGGATCTTTTTATTGAATATTGTACTTCGCAATCAAAAGAGCCTGAACTATATAGTTGTTATTTCTTGGTAATTTTTGAAGTTCTGCTAACCAAAAAATCTGTAATAAAATTCAATATTGTGAAATTAAATATTAAATTACTAAATTACAACTAAATTACAACTATTCAGGTAAATATTAAAGTACTAAAATGCATTTAACATCAAATTTATTCATTTGCTGGCCATTGAATTTTTCATCAACTTTAGAAAGTCTTATTTTTCTTCTGGAGAGAATTACATTAGCATCCTTGCCTGTTATTACTAAAAAGGATTTCTCATATACTTTTTATAGCACCTTTGATTTTTAGGCTGAAGGCTTTTAGGTAAACTTAAATGGATTCTTCCAATATGCATGTCTGAAATGTTGACCTCTGCACTTTACTAATGTATATTTCATTTTACAAAGTTAATTTAGGGGCTTTTCTATTGCTCCAGGCAATATCTAGTATAACCTCGAACAATATCTAGTATAACATTGGACACAATGTTTTTTTTTCTTCTTTTGCAAGTCATAACTAGAGATGTGATCATTATACTGTGTGTCCTTTAATCTTGATGTTTTAATAGAAGTTCAAGTGTTGTTTCCTTTAAACAATTAAGTTCAGTTCAAAAGACAGAATAAATTCAAAGCTTTTTAAAAACTCTAATTTTAGAGTCCAAATTGTGATAAGTACTTCAGCCTTGGGATTTTGATATGCTCAGAAGCTTTATTTTGAGTAGTCATTAACTTGTGATTTGGCCCAGATCACCATGTAAGGTCATAGGAGCTACAGGCCTCTTATCTCTGACTAGCCTGTCCCCTGGGATAAAAAGTGTGTTCCAAAAGAAAGAGCAAGATCTCAGTGTGATTAAATCAAGTCTCCAGGGAAATATAATAGTCCTAAGAAAATAGCAGGTTTTAAGACATCATCATGCAGGAAAGGAACTGATAGACCCAAATGAGCCCTAAGAAAAAGGGAAGTGCTTGAGGCTGGTACACACTGTAGACTTTCCCAGTAGAGCTGTGCCAACCACAAGGGCAAATCGAAGTTGTCAAGCCTGATAATAAAGAATCAGATTACTTGCATTTTTGCAGTGGAGAGTTCATAGAACGCTTTCATGGAATCAAGCAGTAACCTGTTACCCTTGTCTTCCTTTTGCTCCCAAACTTAACAGCCCCATGAACTTCTTTTTTAATTATACTCCTTCCATCCTAGTTCTTGAATAGCATTTTCCTAATTGTTATTCAACACTTCTCAAATATCAGAGGCAGTAATAGCACATCCTGGCATCTAACCCATGGTTGTACCTCAGGAATACACTGACTGCCTTGGTGGTGGCCAAATGCCAGTTCCTGTAGCCAAGTTGTGGTTTGGGCGGGTAGACCCATTTCCCTTCTGTAACCCTATCACAGTTGCCAGCTTTATTTCTCCCCCACCAGAACCTAAGCTTCTACAAGGCAGGAGCTACGACTTTTGTCTCTCTTAACTCCAGAGCCATGTCTGCTAAAATCATGGTGAGTATACAAAGAAAGTTGGTAGTAGCAAATCTAGCTACAAGATTCTTTAAAATAACTTAGCATTTGATTTATTGTGTTTTAATATTTTAATAATATTAACTATAAAGTAGTTACTAAATTAACTATTTTAAGTTTCTTTGAAGGCAGATATTGCCAGTTCAGCTCTGATTCAAATATTGGTTAAGATCTGTCATATCTAAATTTAATTATATAGGCAAATATTTAAGTTAATTACAATTACCTCTTTGGTTATTGTTATCTTTTCATTTCCACCCACTCTCTAATTCCTGCTGTTTAGGGAAACTGGTCTAGTAGAGATATTAAATTGTAGCATAACCCACAAAATGAGCCAGAAACTTTATTCTCATGACTTAATACTCTACTTATTCCTCAAATTATCTGCAGTGAAGGTATTTGTTTGTTTTATTTTATTTCTATTCAGTCACAAACCAGTACTTCTTACAATAAAATGAATTAATAGAAAAATGAAAAACTTTAAAGCATACTAAATACAGGTCTGATTCAGATTCAGAAGATGTAACCTAATCTCATGGATGCTTGAGAACCTTTCAGTGCTGACTTACTTTCTGTAGCTGTGCCATCACAGAATAGCTCCTGCTGAGTTGTTGCTCCAGCATCAGCACCTGCTTCCTAGACCCTCTGTGAACGCTGCAGGAACAGAGCATTTGTTTCACAGAGAAGGTCTCAACATTATTAAATAATCTATGCCTTGTGTTTATGTTTGGTAGTAGTTTAAAATCAGTGTCTTGAAATTACGGGGTTTGAAGCAGTAAAGATTTATATGTTCCCCAACATGTGCTTGGAATTATTAGACTATACTGTCACCTTCTTAACCTACCACATGTAGATAACATAGTGTCCTCCCACACATTCTTCATTTGATCCTCTTTGACAGTTCTGTGAGGTTGGGTTCTTATTATCATTTCTATTTTACCAATGAGTTAAGTGCTATTTGCCGGATATCATGTAGCTAATTAATGGAAGACATTGGCTGGAAAGTAGAATTGTGTTGTGACTCCTATTTTAGAGCTGAAATCAATCCTCTTGTATCATTGACTTCTATCAGTTTTTTAAATAAAATTGCCACTAAGGTCATGGTAATTTTCTGTTATTGGTGAAACTCTGCTAGTTTCTGCCTCCGTATCTTCATTGGCAATGGTAGTATGATTTCTTTTTCACAGTGAGAATCATCCTTTAAAAAAACCCAGCTTGTCCTCATCAGTTCTCCAGATCAATTCCAAGAACCACTTGTATTTAGGTGGAGCTTTCTAAGGATAAGCAAGTGTTTTAATGAAAGATACGCCCTTAGCAAGCTGCCTGGTGAGTGAGTTTGAGAATTACAAGGATTCATACTTACTCCAATCATCAAAGTCAAGACATACAGTCTCTGTATCCTGTATAGATTCCATTCATTGTGGTTTATAATGCAATAGACTTTACTACCTTTTTAAAAAATATTACATCCTGCCTAGTCCTAACACATAAATAAATTTGGTGAATAACTTAAGTGGTAGTTCTTTTAAATTAGTAAAGTCAAGCTTGAGTTATATCTGTATTTCATCTTGACCTAAGAGAAGTTTATCATACTACCTTTACATAAGGCATTCTCATAATTGTTGTTCAGTAATAAAAATGCTTTTGAATTAAAAGTACTGATAGTACATTTTACTGTTATCTTTTTAAATTTTTTTTTTTTTAGTTGTAGTTGGATACAGTGCCTTTATTTTATTTTTATGTGGTGCTGAGAATTGAACCCAGCACTCTGCACTTGCTAGGCAAGTGCTCTACCGCTGAGCCACAACCCCAGGCCCCATTGTGTTATCTTTAGGGATTCCTTTACTTAAATTTTAGAATAGACCGAACTCTCTCTCATAAGTGAAATCTCCTGGTCCACAATTTTATAAGCTATCTAATTTTTATAAACCTTTTTAGTGTTATTTTTCTTAAGTTTTTTATAATGAAAATTTTCTTCAAATATATAAAAAGTTGAAAGACAAGTACAATGAACATTGATATAAATACCTTATAGCTTCAATAGTTGTTAATATTTTGACACACTTGCTTCTCTCTTTCTCCATGTATATACATAGACCTATTTATGTAAATCTTGGCTTGATCTGAGTTTAGGTAAAGCATATTGATTTAAAATACTTATTTTTTGATGTGTGTACATATATTGCATTTATCAAGAAGCAAATGATGTTAAATTGTTCTATCATTTTATCTCTTTGCTATGGTTTAAATATCACTTGCCTTTCCCCCAAAGCTCCTGTGTTAATGTAGGAATGTTTCAAGATGAAATGATTGGCTGAGTGTAGTGGAGCATACCTGTAAATCCCAGTGACTAGGGAGGCTGAGGCAGGAGAATTGCAAGTTTGAGGCAAACCTCAGCAACTTAGTTTAACTTAACTTAGCAAAACCCTATCTCAAAATAAAAACTAAAAAGGGCTGGGGATGTGGCTCAGTGATTAAGCGCCCCTGGTTTTAATTTCCTCCTCAAAAAAAAAAAAAAAAGATGAAATGATTGGATTGTGAGAGCTATAGCCTAATCAGTTCATCCTAGTTTGAATGAACTAACTGGGTGGTAACTGGAGGCAGGTAGGTCTCTGGGGGCATGCCCTGGAAGGCTTCATCTTCCCTGTAGCGCCTTCCCTCTTTGTTTTCCCATTACTATGAGGTGAGCCACACTCCTCTATCACTCTTCTGCCAAGTTTTCCTGCCTCATTTTGGGCCCAGAGCAATAAACTCAACAAACGATTGACTAAATGAAACCATGAGTCAAAATGAACTTTTCCTCTTTTAAGTTGTTCAGGTCAGGTATTTTGGTCACAGTGACTAAAAGCTAACACACCCTTGTTTATGGTAGTAACTTCCAGATCTCATTTTCATAAATAACAAATATGAACAGGTGATACTTTCGTACTGTATGAATATGCTGTTCCCCAACATTTTACCTAAAGGTTTTAACATCCTTTGGTCCTTGCTAGATCTGTTGTTCCATCGGACTTTCCTGTTCTATTTAATAGGTTAGGTGGCATTCTATGAAGGTGAGAGTTCCTTCTACACCTGTGGATGAACTACTGTTATTTCATTAAGGTCAAGGGTACACGCTTAATGCTTCCCCTTTAACTACCATATTTGGAGTAGATCTTACCAAATCAGAAATTTCCCCAGTGCTGCTTTCCTTCTGATGTGATTTACCCTATTGTCTCCTCAGACCTAAAATTTTTTCAAGGAGCCCTAGTGCTATTTAGTGAGAGGTAGTATTTAGATAAGTGCTATTCTGACTTGAAAATCATTGCCTCTAGGCTATTTCAGTGTATAAAAGCAAGGAAACATGTTTCTTTTAATCATGAATTCATATTGACATTTCTAACTTAAATATTTTTAGTTGTAAACGGACACAATACTTTTGTTTTTAATTTGTTTTTATGTGGTGCTGAGGATTGAGCCCAATGCCTTACATGTTTGTGAGGCAAGTGCTCTACCACTGACCCACAACCTCAGTCCTGACATTTTTAATTTCACTATCATAATTTTTATCTTTTATGTCTCCTATTGAAAATATTGATTCTTACTAATATTTGTTTATTTGCTTCATATATAAAGTTATAGTGTTGTCATTATTGCTACTAAGAATAAAATTCTGAATGAAGGTTAAGATTTCTTTATAGTGTCTTGTATATGAGGAGTTTTGAAAAATATATTACCTGTGCCCACTTTTCCCTAAACTATTGAATCAGAATCTTGGGGCAAGAGGAATATCAACTTGTAAGTTTGTATTTTTAAAAAATATTTATTTTTTTAGTTGTAGCTGGACACAATACCTTTATTTTATTTACTTATATATGGTGCTGAGAATCAAACCCAGCACCTTGCATGTGCTAGGCAAGTGTTCTACTGCTGAGTCACAACCCCAGCCCATAAGTTTGTATTAAAAAAAAAAAAAAATCCATGGTCTGAGCTAGTCAGTCTCAGGACTGCAGGAATATGTGAGATCTGTTATCCTTTGGGTGACAGCGCTCAGCTCTCCTCTTGCTCTTGTCTTCTAACACTTTTATAATTTTCTTATAATGTAATTGTCAAAAAAAAAAAAAAAAAAACTGGCACAAGGCGAACTGTATATAGAAATGGGAAAAGTGTGGACTGAGAAACCAAAAGAAAAATAAGAATTTGCAGGGAGATAGTATAGGGAGCTTAGAAGCTATTGCCACGAACAATTAACGTTGCATATTTTCAGAGTCCCATCATCCTCATCTTCCTTATAGATCTTCAGAGGATTTTAAACAGTAATACTGTTTAGAATATCATTTTAGGATTTATTTAATAATGGCTTAACATTTATTGCATACTTAGTGTTTCTAGGCTTTCAAAATGTTTTACATATTACCTCATATAGTCCTTGCAGTTACCTCAATGTGCTTATGTATTATTCCAATTTTAAAAAAGAAGAAATTGACTTAAATACATTTACTGTCTGCTTACTGATTTACTTTTCAAGGAAAATACAGATATTATCTTCTGCCACAGGTCAGGTTGCAGGAATCAGACTATGAGAAGAGTAGATGCATGATTCTATTAAGAGTCTTCTGGGGATCAACAGCTTGGAAGGGAGGCGGAGCAAGGACAACTACCAGAAGTTGAGCTTTAAAGTAGTTCTCTAGAAAGTCCTCAGCCAGTCCCACAGAAAGCTCTGGAGCAAAGGTAGTCCCCCAAAGTTGCTCCATTATGAGGTGGGAGGACTGGATTATTTTACCTTTGCATTTACTATTGTATATAGACTACTCCTGGAAGAAGGTTGTTGGGGGAATTAACCTCTAACAAGGACTGACAGCAAAGACACACTTCTGCCAGTATTTGCAGGAATAAGTCCTTTCTAGGGCATCTAGGGTGTCATCATGCTATTCTACCGAATCTTTGATAAATTTGATATAATTTCTCCAAACCAAATTGTTCTTGATAAAGACACCCCCCCC